ATAGAAAAGGTTTGCCAAGCTAATTTGTATATCCACGCATTCTAGAATGACTGATTTGTCTCATTCACTTTTTGAAGTACACATAACTCTCGGATTTAAGTCCGAGGTTTTCACATTTATTTCTTCTGAAATCAAAAGCTTGTTCATCCAGACTGCATAGAAATTATATGTAAAGACCTCTTCGTTCTTTCAACATAACCATATTTAGTATTACTTTCTGTAATTCGACGTATGTTTCTTATAGTTTCTCTACAACAATAGCAAAATTTTAAATAGGATTTCTAGTTGCATCTGAAAGAATTGATACACGTCATATATTAAAAAATTCTTTCATTAGATTAACTATAATAAGTTCAGCAACTTGTAGATTTAACTCTATCTTTTTAAACTTATCTATTAATTTATATAGTTTATAATTTACATGAAAATATTCGAGTTGCTCTATATCATAGAAAAAATATTTGTAGATTTTTTCTAGTATTAACTTTTTTAATTCTTTTATCCGTTCATTACTATCATCATCATAGGTACAAAATTGTTTGAGCTTTTGCACCGTATGATAAGCAAGTCCAATAGATGGATAGTTTTTACCAGACATCATAATTGTTCCAAGAAAAAATGGTCTTAGCACATGATGTAATGATGATAAAAAATCCCAATCATCTTTATTTAATTCAATTGATTCTAATTTGTTAAGTTGTTCTTTACGTAATTGTAATGTTTCTTTTTCGACAAATAATTTCATCAATAATGGTTTAGCATCAATTAAGGAATCAATTAAGCAAAATGTTGAGTTCCAACGAGATTTACAATCAATATTGATTGTTTTATTTATTTTATAGAATGATTTATGAGCTCGAATAAAATTTGCAATAATTGTGGATTTTTTTGTAATAGTTGCAATTTTACGACATTTTGTCAATGCTTTCATAACCAACTCAACTTCTTCTGTAGCTGCAACATCGCTTTCAACATCTTTCGACCAATTGTCATCAATTAGATCACGTGCTTGTATTTCATTAACATCTTCATCATTACTGGATACATCATCTTCACCTTCGAAATGATTGTCTGTATCACCACCATCAAACGTCATCGAATTGTTTTCCACAGTAGCATCACTTTCATCATCAAATAATGAATCATCTATTAAAAAAATTACAAGAAGTTGACGGTAAAAAACGACTCTTTCCTTTTCTACTATTCTTAGTTGCAACTAGTGTTAGAACAAAATACCACTCTTAGACGGCGGAACGACTTAGTAAATGCTCAATTTTTTTCTAGACTATAATGAGAGGCAGGATAAAAAGATGAGAATTTTCTATCTTTATATTGTTCATTGTATTTGAAACGCACTTTCGAGTTTTTTCATTTCAAAATTTGTACCAAAATGAAAACTTTCACTGCAACAATACCTTTTCTATTAGATAATCAGTATCTATATAAACATGTTCCACCTAATGTAAATTGAATATAACAAGGTAGTTCGTCGCACTGCTCACGAATAAAAAAGTTTTCCTACTGCTTTTTTTAAAATAAACTCATGCCAGCAATTATTTTATTTCAACAAGCCTAATTTTTCTTTATATAAGGAATATTCATATGGTTAAAAATGAACAGTTAATTAATTGTGCCAAAAATCACTATCACTTTTAAAACGCATGTAAATGCACAAATATAATTGCACACTTGAATTATCTAACATTTGACTGATTGTACTATTCAGAAAAATAGGAGACAATTCTGGTTTGAAGATCTCTTGATAAAAAGAAACAGACTTACGATTATATCCCAAAATGTTTTGAAATATTTAAATCACCCAAAACCTAGTCGCTCCGCTGCCTATGATACCAATCTACATGATACTCTGATTTAATTTACATTATGTTCTTACATTGGCCATAAATGAATAAACGTTTCAAAGTAAGATGAAGGGGTAGACATATTATGGAAAATACATCAGTTTTTTTCTTATCAAAAGAATGATACATGGACATGATTGTCAACAAAATATTAGTAAATCTTTATGCTTGATTTTAAATAATGGTATTAATGAAATTGAAAATTTTACCTGGTTCATGATCACTTAACGAAGTTGTATCCATAGATTCATTGTAATTCTCTGAAATAACGCCAGCAGTTGTAATACTTGATGTTGAAGCTTCTGTTGTTGTTGAACTTTCTGTTGATGAATTGTTTGTTTGATGAGCATCAGTTTTTTGTTCTTTATTCCAAAGTCCTAATGCATTGACTATCACTAAATGTAGTCGATGCGTACAGCACCAAATTCGTTTAATAAATCGATCAAGTTTTTTACAAGCTGCTACTAAATTTTCTCCACCATCACAAGTAATAGCCGTTATTTTATCATATATTTCTAAAGCAGTAAGGCTATCTTTCAAACAGCGAGCTATGTTTGTTGCATTATGTCGTTCATTGAAAGACGAAAAATGAATAATTTTAGAATTAAATTCCATTTGATTCTTGTAATAGTGTCCAGTAACACATAAATAAGAAATACAAGAACGACTGGACCAAAAGTCCAGTGTTAAACCTATATAATCAATTTCTTTTAATTCATCTTTCAATAATTGAAAGTGTTGATTGTACAAATGTTTTAGTTGATTCGAGACTTGATTACGGTGAGGAGGTGTATATCCTAAAAAAAGCAATTATACATTATTGAATTTATCAAAAGTTTTCAAGAAACTGCTGTTAGAGTAGTATTGATGACGGATGCATATTACTCAAAGATATGCCGAATTATATGACGGACACCTATTAGTACATAAGTGGGAATTAATATTGTAGTTATATATATTTTATTTTTTCACTAGGTACAAATGTAACAATGAACACAGAGCAAAAAGTCATAAGCTATAATGGAATGCTTAAGAGTAATATTATTCAGATCTTTTCGGTACAGGTACATGTAACACAATATGTTATGTTCAATATTCTTTCTAGGAGTCTTTTTATGAATAAGATTGTTATCTACAACATATATTTCTGATCGATATCGCAAAATAACTTGCACTAAATCGTGTACTTTTTCTCTCTTTTGCTAACTGCGAAAAGAGTTTCTCTATAATTCCAAAGATAGAAAATCTCAAATTCCATGAAACTATTGGCTTTGTTTCTCAAATAATCGTGTTTATTAGGTACCGAATAAAAAAGAATTCAAATCGATCCAATCATTTCAGTGCAATGGTAAGGCGAAAAGAAAAAAAATATGAAAATGTTTAATTAAGAGTTCAACTTATTTTCTAAACTATGCCAAAACATTCTCTATAAAATTATACATCTTCAACTGCATGTTGCAGAATTTTAGAGAAAATATTTAAAGATAATGATTTCGAAGAAAGGATATAAAAACAGCGAAAAATCTCTGTTCTGATAAACCTAGACCATAATTCTTCCTTTTATTCGAAACCACATAACCTTCTTTTCTGCTCAATTTAACAGTTACACCAGTTGAATCAGCATTGAATTCTAATTCGATGGCATAATAATAAATCTTCTATAGTACAAATTTGACTTTTGGCAGCATGATTTCAAAAGTGTACCACAAAGTAAGATCAGCCGTCAAGTGCAAGCCTTTTCTTCTCCTGAGCCACGTCATCATTAACTTTGAAAAGATCATAGAAGAAACGAACAAAAAGCTTTCGATGTATTGTTGTTAAATATTTCCATTTTAGAACTGGTCTTCATGCCCAAAATCTGCAACTAATCGATAAATGTCAGCAAAAAAATAACAGAACGCAGTTGAATGATGAAGTAGAAATGAGTAAGTCTTAATATGCGTCGGAAAAAGAAACCTATTTTAAAAAACAAAGTCGACAACTTTGTGGAACTTGAAAATCTTTATCTGTTGTTTTAAAAAACAAAGTCGACAACTTTGTGGAACTTGAAAATCTTTATCTGTTGTTTTAAAAAACAAAGTCGACAACTTTGTGGAACTTGAAAATCTTTATCTGTTGGTATGTTAGGGAATTTTTTGCATAATTTAAGAATAAGAAAAAAAGTACTAAGATTTAGTGCAATTTATTCCAGAGCATCCGTCACCAAAATGAACTGAGTTTTCAAGTTCATTAATGATATTTGACATAGCAATATATATCATCATATATCATTGGCTTCAAATAGATAAATTCGATTTAGATAGTGTCTCAGAAATACTAATCTGATAAATTATATAAATTGTTTCTATCAGATATAGCTTATATTATTTCAACGTACTATCTGAGATATATTTAGAAAATTAAGTATCAGTGCATGCTATAACAAGACTTATATCGTCGTTCTAAAATATACTTGTAGCCTAGCAATGATCTTCTAATGAAATAGCTTTCAATACAATATTATTAAAGATGTATTATACCTGGACATAATTTATTGAAAACAGCCAATATCCCTTTTTTTCTTAGATCATTAAAAGAACGACTATCGATCACGATAGCATTATAACACAAAGCATGAAGATCACGTTTAAATCGTTCAGAAAGATGCGGTTTTGTAGATGATGATGATGAATTATTAATCAGATCATACTTGTTATGTTTATGGATTAAATGATAAAGAATCGTAGATGTTGAATGTGATACAATAGAACACGTATAATCACACAATAAACATATAGCTGTTTTACCATCATCACTTTTTTTGGCATATTGCCAAACATTTGATGTAGATTTGCGACCAGGTGAATTTTTATTGTAAAATGATGATGGTACTGGACGGATGTTGGTTGATAATAATGCAGGATTTATGTTAATTGATAACAGGGCAGGATTGTTGTTATTTGATGATGTTGAAAAAATGTTGTTATTTGATGGTGGTGAAAAAGTGTTGTTATTTGATGGTGGTGAAAAAGTGTTGTTATTTGATGGTGGTGAAAAAGTGTTGTTGTTGGATATTGATAATATTCGATTGTTGTTATTTGTTGATGATGATAAAAGATTGTTGTTGGATGTTGATGATGTTCGATTATTGTTATTTGTTGAAGATAATGAGATGTTGTTATTGGTTGTAGACAATATTCGCCCGTTTTCATTTGGTGATGATGAAAAAATGTTGTTATTGAATGTTGATAGTGTTCGACTATTATTATTTGTTGCTATCGATGATGATGAAATATTGTTGTTGGATATTGATAATGATCGATTGATGTCATTTGATGCCGTCGCAATTACATTTGAACATGCTGTTGAAGCATCAAGATTCTCATCAAAATCAATAATTTGACGATCTTTACTTTTATTCTTTCCTTTTCGTTTCATTTTAAAAATGTTTTTCTAAAAATAAATAAATGTGCACACATTTGAATGTTGAAATGGATTTCATGATTGAATTTATAAAACTGCATCATAATACTCAAATAGAAACATCATATGAAGGCTACATTTGATATGCCACTGAAAAAAAATGACATCGTTCGAAACGACGTGATTAAGAAGAAGACAACAATTTTTTTCGAAAAATAAAATTCAAAATTTGTGAAATACTCGATCTGTTCGAAAATAGATATTAAAATTTCAATACAATTAATGAAAAAAATAAGAACAAAAAACTGT